GGATAAGCTGAATGCGGATGGAGGATGTTTGAGCGCAGTTACGGCTAGAGTTCGTGTGGGATGGATGAAATTTAGGGAACTGGGTGGGGTATTGTGTGGAAAGAAATGGTCAGTGAAGATGAAAGGGAGGGTATATAAAGCATGTGTGAGAGCAGCGATGATATATGGTGGTGAAACTTGGGTGTTGAGGAGAGAGGAGGAAAGTGTACTGCAGAGGGCTGAAAGAGCTATGGTGAGGATGATGTGTGGGGTTAAAGTGAAGGATAGGAGGAGTAGTACAGAGCTGATGTCAATGATGGGACTGAATGAGGACATTGTGACATTGATAAGGAGATCGAGATTGCGGTGGTATGGACATGTGTTGAGAAGGGATGAAAGGGTCGGGATTAGGCGAGCGTTGGAGTTCGAGGTTGAAGGAGTGGTAGGAAGGGGTCGTCCGCGATTGGGATAGAGAGAGCAGGTGGAGAAGGACAGGGTGAAAGCGGGGTTGCGTGATACTGAGGCGAGTGACAGATGTGGATGGAGTCGAGGGGTATTTCGGTTTCATCATAGGTAGCCAAACGGCAACCCCCGATCTCGGGGAAAATGTCGTCTAAACGTGTGTTGTTTGTTGTTGTATAAAACTATTAATTTAATTATACGCTAATTCATTCATTCGTTCATTCATTCGTTTATTCATTTGTTTATTCATTCGTTTATTCATTCGTTTATTCATTCGTTTATTCATTCATTCATTCATTCATTCACTCATTCATTCATTCAATCATGCATACCTAATTACATTCCTTCATTCATTTATCGAAGCATTCCTTCATCCAGTTTTTCACCCACACACTCACTCATTTATTTACTCATTCACTCAATCAACCGACTCGTAAAATCCTGCAACTCAGTATCCCAGAGTACAGCTGCTTTCACTCCGTTGCCAACCAGGGCTAAAAACGACCTTTTAACCTGAGGGGAATCAATCAATCAATCAATCAATCAATCAATCGATCGATCGATCAATCAATCGATCAATCGATCAATCAATCAATCCGACCGTTAGTAAGTCATTTAGTCAATTAATCAATAATACAATCAATCAATCAATTAGACAATCAATCAAAAACCAAAATCATCATAAACAAACATCACTACCAGCAAACAAACAAACAAGCCAAAAAACAAACAAATAAACAAACGAACCAACAAACAAACGAACGAACAAACAACAACAAACAACAACAAACAAACAGACATACATACACTCAATCTCATATCGAAAACGACAATCTTTGAGCTAGGAGGCATAAGATCGTAGCACGTGTGGTCCCTCAGAAATCGGGCATAGGACGCCGACGGTGGACCTGCTCGTCGTGGCGATCACGGTGATAAAAATGATTATCATCATTTCTAAATGATTATCATCATTTCTAAAGACAATTAAGATGGTGATGAAGATGATTGGCATGATGATAACAACAGCAGCAGCAACAACAACAACAACAACGGCGTTCGTTTCTAAAGATGATGATGATAAAGATGATTAACCTGATGATAACAACAACAGCAGCAGCAACAACAACATCATTAACGACAACATCAACAACAACAACTCACAGAAAGCATCATCATCTTCATACTCGTGTGTGGCTGAAGGCATCTAGAGACGCAGTATAAATAACACACACATATCAATTATATACTTATATAAACTGTTTATTAACATAATAATTATATAATAATAATAATAATAACAATTAATAATAATATTAATTATAATTATTATTATTATTGTTATTTATGGTTCGGAGAGTGCACAGAAATTGATCGATCTGAATCTTGCCTGGTGCAAATGGTCGGCATGCGGATGAGGACAGATAAGAAAGTGCTGTGTATTTAGAAGGAGGAAATAAGATGGTTCATACGATCAGTTCCTACCAAGGTTGACAATAGACAATATGCCCATTCCAACAGTAGAAATGGGTCGGGAATTCAAATAGCTGGAGAATGTCTATGATTCAGAACTAAGAGACACGGAAGCCAAAGAGGAGGTGATTTTCAAATTAACACACCTCCTGAGATCTGATCTACGACCGAGCTAGATGTTTCTACGCAAATGGAACTACAAATTTTGAGAAGACTCATCCCCTCACAACTGAAGTTCGAGCTGCATTTAAATATGCCACCTAAGTACACTTATCATGGATAATGAGTAATAGGGTTTTATAGTGCATTTAATTATTTGACAATGACCATAATCTATTCTATTTTATATTTTATGTCACTGATTTTTTGTAATGAAAGAGTTTTTAATTATAGAATATGTTGTTGCACTTTTTCCACGGTTAAATTTTCGTTACATCGGTATAATTAATCAGTTGCACGCGATAATTAATCAAGTTAATTAAATAATTACCATTAGTTATCAGTAAACAGTTGCAGGTAACATTTCTAATCTATCATCTGTTCTATCATCATCATCATCATCTTTATCATTTTTATAACCATCATCGTTACCATCATCATCTTTATCAAATTTTATTACTACCATCATCATCATCATCATCATCATCATTATCACCACCATCATCATCATCACCACCAACCCTGAAAACTTTGGTGCCCTTTACTTTATCCCTCCAGACCAGGTAGTGCATCTCCCCGTCATCGTCCTCCTCGCCCCGACCACCTACCCACCGTACGGGGATTAATTACAAATCGTCATCATCACCAGCATCATCATTATCAGCAGCACCAACATCATCACCCACCGCCACCCTCTCGTATGAAAACCATCATCACCATTACCGTTATTATTGTTGGATTAAGCGTCACCATTATCATTACCATCATAAATATCATCATCATCATCATCATTAGCATCATCATCATAAATATTTCACGATAGTAATAAACATTGACATTATATAAGTACTAATATATCGTCCTCATTACGTTTTTATTTTATTATTCCTATTTAAAATTATGAATAATAACGAAAATAACAATTATTATTATTATTATTATTATTATAGCGGCATTATAGCGTAATGTTTAAAGGCGCCTGGTGCTGCCTTGAAGTGACATGGTTCAAATGCAAAGAAAATCCACACCTAGATATCTCAGGCAATGTGTGTGATGCATAAGTTCACGCGTATCCAAATACGCCCTGTGTGTGTGTGTGTGTGTGTGTGTGTGTGTATGGTGTGTGTGTTTGGGGTGTATGTGTATTTGTATGTGTGTGTGTGTTTGTGTGTGTGTGTGTGGTGTGTATGATATTTGTATGATGTGTGTGTTGTGGGTTTTATGATGATGATGATGATGATGATGATAATGATAGTTTTGATGTTTCTGAATAGTAGAGATTATGAGAGAATGACCTTTGAACTTTAACTTCAAAAATTTTAAAAGTTTTTTTCAACCACTACAAAACTATATCATCACTTACACAACAATTTAAATACTATATAAAAATAATATTATTATTACCAGTAATAATTTTAAAAATCGTGAAAAATAATTAATTGGATAATTAATTTTTTTGAAACAAAATTTACAATAACCTGAAATGGAAGACCTGATGTGATTCTGTAAAGAAGGCAGAAGAACAATTAAATTAAACTAAATTAAATTAAACAATATAATTAAAATTAACAGACATAATTATTATAATAATTATTATTATTATTGAAATATAAATTAATCAAAATTATTAATACTATAACAGAATAGCAGTGAATACAACGAAATACATTTAGAATTAATAAATTATATTGAAAAACAAACTCAATGCATTTACAGATAACATGAATCCATAGAAAAACTTTTAAAATAAATGTTAAATTTATACAAGCAATGAACAAACGAAACGAATCGAATCGAAACAAAAACAAGACTAAAATTCCGTAAGAAATGAATGTCACAACGTTGAGAAAAGTAATTTTTTTAAATCTTTCTAGTCTGGCTACACAAAAATCTACTCGATTATTTTGTTAACTGTTTAACACATAAACATTCAAATAAAAAACAAACAAACATACAAACAAACATACACCATGCAAACGAAAAACAAATCACACCCAAACATACAAATCTGTCCCTAGCTTGCTTGCGGGCGAGTAACAGTTTCGTCGTGTCACTCTGTGTTCGGTGCCGGTGGTGCATCTCGAGGTACTGATCGGGGCCAATCTCTAAACTAGGGCTCAGGGCTGACATCTGTCGAACGGCCGGATGGTGAAAATGTTGATTAGGATGGATATGTCTTGGGGACGATTCGGCTACTGTCCCTGCTGCCGTAACTGTAAATCTGCATCGTGAGGAGATTGAGAAAGATTTAGATTGAGAGAAATTTAGAAGATGGGTGGAGATATTAGGACATTTGGACGCCGCGATCGTGCAATGGCTATGGTATCTGGAACCGCTGCTATTGTAGGGTATTGTAGGGTTTTTTTATAGTCTATCTTTATTACGACCAGAAGCGTAGCAGTTCGTCCGGAAAAAAATAATAAATCTAACTAAAAAGCTGCTTGCACGCCCGCGATAGCACTGCATCTACATGTTATACGAATAAAGTATGACAAGTTATGTGACGGATAAGAAAATTAAAAAAAAAAAACAAACATAAAAAACATCGGTATGTCGAAAAATATCGGTATATCGTTTTAATTACCGATATTTGTTACGAGAATATCGATACATTGTTCTAATTACCGACATTTGTTACGACAGGCAGCTACCGTGCTCGAAAACAACGAGATCCAGTTTATCACATGCAGTGTGCGTGCGTGTGTGTGTATGTGTGATGCACTGATTCACATTCACGTGTGTTTACTCACCACACACTCACTACGTGCTTTTTGCTTGTTGTTGATTGATGCCTCTTAGAAATATTACAAAAAATTGCAAAAATCGCAAATAATATCATCACATTGCACTGAGCAATCACATAAGGTATATGTAATCAATAACCACAGGACTGTGACAACTATTTATTTACTCAGTTGTTAATAATTGAAATTATTACCATTACATACATAATATTTACATTGCAATTTACATCTAATTATTCTAGTCAGAATTATTATCATTATTGTAACCATTATCATTATTATTATTCAAATTAATTTCACCAGTTTGAATGAATAAACCAAATTTCCCTAATCCCTAATCTAACCTGGACTCCCCTGTCTCGCAGCAGTGATGTGCCTCGGCAGACGACACGGACGAAATTTCTGGGCAGTCACAGGCATTGGATTTCGTCTTGTGTCGGAAGGAGTCAATGAAATGTTTGACTTTGCCTAAAAGAAAGTTGACGTAACGTATATGTGATGTCATTGTAATAATAATAATTATAATAATAATAATTAGTATTATTATTATTATTAATGATGTCCACTATATATAAATGGAATACTCCTTGCTGCATCTGAATCCGAGAGAGATCTTGGAGTAATTTTTTCAAATAACTTAAAATGGAAAATTCAAGTCGTCACAGCATCAAACAAAGCAAACCAAATTCTTGCTCGAATAAAAAAATCTTTTGGGAAACGTGTGTTCAGCTGTTCGATGATTGAATACTATAACATATTGTTGTAATCCCTGAATTCTCGTTACTACCAACACCAATGTCATAACTTTAAAGATATCTATATTTCTAACACCAGTGTTGTATCAGTAGCTTCCAACGATCGTCATGTAATTGCTTCGTAATTTATACCTGACCTTTATTCGTTCACTGTTGGTGTTTGCAGTATCAGTTTGGTCCCCAGATCTAAAGGGCGATAGCGAGGTGACCGAAATAGTCCAGTGTACTGTAGAGCAACGAAGTTGGCTCCATCTATAAGAAACCTAGCTTACAAAGATTGTCTTTAAAAATTAGGATTAACATATTTGGTGGAAAGAAGAAAAAGAGATTTAAGTCAGTTGTTTAAAATCGTGCATAATTTGGACAAAGTTGATTTAAATAATCGTTTTGGCATAGACAAAACCAAAACGCGAGGTCACAGCTTGAAATATTTTAAGGTGTTAACAAGACATAGAGGCAGAGAGAATTACTTATTCAATAGAGTTGCAAATACATGGAACTCATTACCAAATAAACTTGTTAAGGTACAATCTATGAACAAATTCAAAGCAGGCATTGACTGTTGGATGAACAATCAATCAATCAATCAACGAATCAGCTGTGCTAGCCTGCCTGACAGCATGCTCTCTGGACAACCTCCAGAACAGCATTACTGCTACTACTACTGAATAACAATGAATGGTTGTTACTATTTACGGTGTGGTTGTCGTAAATATTTGAGATTTTCTGCAATCAAAGATTAATAATATTTTAGCTTTTCAAGATATAAAAAAGACATCATTATCATTATCAACGACATCATCATCAGCACCACCATCATCATCATCATCACAGTTGTTCTGCATATTTTTGGGTGTTTTTGTGATAAATTTTGTAGGGATGTTTTCACGTTTAAAGTTTTTAAACTTTTCTAATTTTTATTAATTATATTATTATTATTATTATGATACAATATTATAATTATTTTATTAATAATATATTATAATATATAATGTTTTTATTATGATATTGTTGGTACAGTTTTAAAACCATGATATGTTTGTTGTCTGCTATGTTATTTAGAAATAAATAAGCAATTGGCCCAAAGAAGAGTTATCATCGCCACCATCATCTTCAATATCATCATCACCATCATCATCGCCATCATCATCTTCAATATCATCATCACCATCATCATCGCCATCATCATCGCCATCATCATCTTCAATATCATCATCATCGTCATCATCACCCTCAATATCATCATCATCACCACCATCATCGTCATCATCATCATCATCATCATCGTTTTCGCTTATATTATCATTGTGGTTTCTTTGTTTGAAACATTTAAAGGCTTACATTACATTATTAACCCATCATTGCATTATTAAACCTTATTTAGCATACACTAAGACTCATCATCATCATCAACACCTCAGTAGCAGTAGTAGAAGTAGTAGTAGTAGTATTAGTATCATTACTACCATTATGATTGCAACTATAATATCTTTATAGCATTCATAATATTAGTACTACAGCATCATTGGTGTTAACATAATTAATATAACATTATAATAATAATAATTATTATTGTTATTATTATTGTTATTATTATTTTTGTTGTTATAATTATAATTAAATAGCAGAGGTTTTCATCAGCCAGAACTTAAGCCTAATTACAATGATAGCATGCATTTACAACTTCATCACCATCATCATCATCATCTGCTGTCATTGTAACCATCATCGTCTTCTTCATCATCATCATCATCATCATCATCATCCTTATAACCATCATCATCATCATCATTGTGATCATCGTCATCGTCGTCATCATCAATATTATCATCATCATCAATTAACAACCAACAACACTATAACAAAAATTATAAGATGATTCTTTTTAATATGGCCAATATAATTATCCTTATCATCATTTACAACAGTTACACAATCATAACAATACAATTATTTTATTATCACATAGACAAATAATTTTAGTCAAGTATTTAATTTCAAAAGCGCAAAGTGAAGAAAAAGAAACAAAGAAAAATAGAAAACTACAACAAAACATAAAAAAAAATTAAAAAAAAAAACAAAAAACTGTTTATACCCCCACTATGCTGTTTGGAGTTAGGCCCCGAATGATGTCGACTATGTGGGGACGGCGTGTTCCTCAGTTGGGAAGGAGGAGCCCCAGCCGGCGTAGGCGACGTCTCACGTTTAGGATCTTTTTTCGAAAAGAGGCCATGTTTTTTCTGGTGACCACTGCTGGACGTTAGACTTGTAGACATGGTTGCAGGATGCCTTTCGCTCTCCCTGACCGGTTGCAGATGGTAGTTCTTTGATATGGAATCCTGAATGTGTGCGTGTGTGTGCGCGCGTGTGTGTGTGTGTGCGCGCGCGTGTGTGTGTGCGCGCGCGTGTGTATGCTTGAGAGGTTGTTGTTGTTATGGGAGTCTTATAGGCACAGTAAACATTATTTTATTGTCGTTATTTGTCTACCCTTATTTTATATGGAATGTTTTATGCCAGGTTTTAATGCTTCCGTAGTTGTTGTTGTTGCGGTAGTTGTTAGTCATTTGTTGTTGTTTCGCTTTTGCAATCTTTTGGTTGTTAGACGACATAAATAATATTGATATTTTATTGAAGAAACTGATCAATACAGGGTAGCCAAAAAACACTGCATACAACTACTAAACATTCTCTCTCTCTCCCTCTCTCTCTCTCTCTTTTTTTGCTACAGACTCATTCAGTTTAATTATATTGTTCCCTGATACAAAAAAAAGTTTGAATGGTAAATAGTGGCCATAGTCATAGTAGAAATGCGCAAAATTCTTTCCACTGGTAACTTGTAACTTTAACAAAAAGGTTGCCATAAAACACTTAATATAACTCACATTCTCTTACAAACTTGTTCTCTCTCTCTCTCTCTCTCTCTCTCTCTCTCTCTCTCTTTCTCTCTCAGTCATTCAATTCTTCACTCTCACTACAGACTTATTCATTCAGTTTAATTTTTTTTTGTTCACTGATACATTTGAATGCTAATTATAGATAAGAAGATGCAATAGCAAAAATGTAATAATAGTAGTAGAAACAGAACTCACAAAACAAAAACATCTAGCCGGTAGATTTGTTTATTTGAAACTTTATAAAAAAAAAGTGACCAAAAAAAACACAGCACACAAAACCTTCTCACTCACTCTCTTTCTTGTTCTCTCTCTTTATTCTCTTTCTCTTCTTTTCTTTCTCCTTCTTTCTCACAGTCATTCTATTTCTACCATTCTCTTACTACAGATTTTGCTCAATTTAATTCTCAATTGTCACCTGATATGTTTAAAATCTTAATTATAATGGTTACGAAATAATGAAACATAGATATGCAATAATGAAACATAGATATGTAATAATAGAACATAGATAGGCAATAACAGAACAAAGATATGAAATAATAGAAGACAGATATGCAATATTAGAAAATGTAATGAAGACACGGAGCTTAAAAAAGGACCTAGCTGATTGACTTTGTTTATATGAAAAAGTAAAAAAAATTAAACAGCAGTGTAGAGAATTAACTACTGCAATTTTTTAACCAGGCTTGCAATTGCAAATATGTTAAATTGTTAATAAGACATTTTTTAATTTAAATTCATTTTAAATTAAATTAATTTTAATTTCAATTAATAACCAAAAATTAAATTCTCATTTTAATGTTTAATCATTAATGATTAAGTAAATTTGAAAGTGTTTTGTTTAGTTTTTATACCACATTCTGTCATCTTTATAACATTTTCATACTCACTGACACAACTCAAAAACTGTTATAATTAATATTAAATAAATAAATGATTAATCAATTTTAATTAAATCAAAAATAAACTCAATACAAAATTAATATTTTAACAAACTAAAAAAACCGTATTCAATTAAAATTAAAAAGTTGAAGAAAAAAAGGCAATAACCTTCAAATAACCAGCATCGGCCCCAGATATTGTGTAATAATTTCCGCTGCCATATTCGGTGGGTATGCCAATCGTCTGTTCGTCACTCCCCATAGTACCCCTACGCTTGCCATCGGAGGACTTTCTGTTGGGGCTACGTGACGAATTTTGATTGAAAACTGCATCTACAGTTCTCCTTGGATGCATCGCTCTAATATGAATTCAGTTTGGTAGGCCAGTCCGTATTTTTTAATATTTGCCTTACTTACTTTTTTAAAATTCAAAAGTAAATTAAATGGATGAGTTTTTTAAACTTTTTAATTTAATTAATAAACTAAAAAATAACTACACCACTTTCCTTCTCTGAATTAGTTTTTAAGTTGCGACAGTTTTGTTGTTTTTATTTAAATGAATTTTGACTTTTTAATACTGAATCAATTTTAAATATTTTACTTCATTTATTTGCAGCGCATTATTTACTTTTAAAGTTTTTTTTATAAATAAATAGTGAGCGATATTAAAAGAATCCAATTAGAAATTTTTAACTTTTAATCAATTTCAAGTGGAGGATTATTTTATAATCAATTGAAAAAATAATTTAAAAACACCAATAAATTATGCAAAAATGCGATTTTTTTATAATTAAAAATTATAAACTCTTCAAATATTTACTTCTTTTTATGATTAACGTACATTAAAATGCAATAGAATTACAATACAATACAATACAAACTATACTAGACTATACTTATACTATAAAGCAATACCATCAAAATACAATACCATACCATATAAAAAACAGCAGAAAGATTTTTTTCTTAAAAAAATACAATACAAACTATACTATACAATACTTATAATATACAATGCAATACAATACAAAAAATGGCAAAAAGAATTTTTTCTTCTTCAAATTCTAAATGCAAACCCGCCAACAAACAGTCAAATCACTAACACTAACTTAAATAAAATGAATGCATTCATTAAAGACGAAACTAAATTAAGTTGATCTCGTAAGATATGTATACACAATATATATATATATATATATATATATATATATATATATATATACATATACATATGTGTGTGTGTGTCTGTGTGTAAAGTATTTAAAGTAAAGTCGTAAAGTGTGTTTACGAAAAAATTATGATGTGTGTTTATATTTAAAACTAGATATACAAACATCTGCAAATATATCATATCTAAGAATATATATATATATATATATATATATATATATATATATATATATATAATTATATATATAAAATTATATATATAAAACTATATGTATATATATTTATATGTGAACATATATAAAGATGAATATTGATATACTAATATAAATATATATTCTTGTACATCTATCTATGATATACAGCGTAGGCTATCATTTTTACTTAATGTCATGTCACGTGGTTTTACGTGTGTATGGTGTATTCATCACATTCATCATCATAACCACCATCTCGTATCATCATCATTCGATCTCCATAGTAACACACACACGCGCGCGCACACCCTCACACACACACACACAAACAAAACAAACAAGTTGTTGTGTTACTGGATTATTGTTGTATTTAATCACTTGTAACCGATTCTGTTATTGTCATGGTTGTTCAGTATTGAGCAGTAAGAACATTTAATGTTATTGTTGTTATTGTTGTTATTATTATCGTTATTTTTAATGTTTTGTTATTATTTTTGTTATTGAGTCGATGTTATAAGCTCATGAGCAAAATAGTTGGCCATCCCCGTCCAAATATTGGTCCCTAATGAAGTAATGAACACAGAAACAATTTTGCGAAAATTCACCTCGGTCACCTAGTTTTGTGTAAATTTCTCCTCGGTCATCATCGATTCTTTAAAAATCCCTCGGTCGTCAACTGTTTCGGAAAATCCTCCACTATGAACTTTTTGTTTGAAAATTCTCTCTCCGTCATCGATTTACTTTTTTTTAATAATTTTTTGGAAATTCCTTCGCTTATACTTATTCTTCTATTGATGAACAAGCAATAGGTCTACCTTGGTTACTAAAACGTAAATCTTTGTACACTTATCATACATTAACTAGAAAATTCGCATTGTTAGATTTGCCAATACGTTACGCCTTTCTTTCTTGTCGGCCTAGATAGCTCAGTTGGGAGAGCGTTAGACTGAAGATCTAAAGGTCCCCGGTTCAATCCCGGGTCTGGGCAAAACACCCACCTTCCCCGGTGGCCGACAATTTTTTTTGCGCTTCTTATTAAAAAGAATTTGAATTTTTATAGTAAGCATTTTTTTCTCTATAATTTGTTCTAACATTTAATAAGTTGTTTTTGAACGTTTTAAAAAAATTAGGCAAATTATTTTAGCGTACTTCATATTTTGTGATAAAATTTTCATAAGATTTTTTTAAATTTTTCCTAACTTAACTTTTTCTCTGGTATAAAAATAAAAAAATTCATTTCTATTTCTTATTATTACGTCATAATAAATTGTTCTCAACGTCATTTGTGCGTGTGTGTGAGCGTGCGTGCTTTTTTTCTCAATTTATATAATATTTATCCAAATTCAAATAAACGAAATAATAAAATGATAGTATAATTATAACTAAAGTAATGTTAATGTTGACAATAAGAGTAATGTTATAGTTAATATAAATATAGAAATATAACGTAATTAAAATGAAATTGATTTATAATTATATAATTAAAAATATCATCACCTATCTACAACAACATAAGATCCAATGATGTCTAATTTATAAATAGTTACTCTACCAAAGAAATCAAAAGACGATTGAAAGACGATTTTTAACTTTTTAACTGGTTCCAACTGATTTCCACTTTCTTTGCAATTGAAAATCTGTTTAAAAGTTAATCTAAATTATTATAATTATAATTATTATTATTGAAAATTATTGTCAACAAACAATTATTATTATTATTATAGATTCAGGTTTGAAGGGAAGAGTGTCTGGGCCCAAAAGATACAAATTAAAATAAAGATAACACAGAGGTAGCTACCCTATTACTATTATTATTATTATTAGGTGGCAAGAAGGTGTCATGGTTATAGGTATAGGGACTTAGTCCTGCTGTTGCAGACACCACATTTGAATGGAAAGTGATTTCAATCAATTAGTTTGTAAAGTGCTATTTCCGAGATGTTCAACAGTACTTCTCAGTGAATTTTGCAATGAGATGGGTCTTGAGATCCACTCTGAACTTCGTAAATGATAAAGAAGTAGTCAGAGAGTTCCAGAGAAAAGGGCCAGAATTGTATCTACCTATCAAATGTTGTTTGTTGTTGATAGCCTAGACTGATGCAAGTGCGCAAGACAGAATATGATCTTTAACCTTTTTATCATTATATTTCAAGACCCCCAATAAAAATAAACCTGTTCAGAGCTGATATCTTTAGGAAAAAATTCCATGATTTCTTTCCATTCTATTGTGTCATCGTTTGTCGTCTGCTGCTGCCCCAACAACAAACAATCCTTACCAACGAACCCACCCTGAAATTTCAACACTAATTCACTGATTAAGACCTCGTTGGGGAATTCCACCATGATTACCTGGGGTGAGCCCTAGGGCCAATGTTTCAAAATTCAAAATTTTTCATTAAAGTTTATTTAATGTTAATCAATGACCTAATTTATTAATAATTGAATCTTCCAAAAAATAGAAATAAAATGATAAATTAAAAGTGAACTTGAATAAAAAGTAAGGAATTAAATTAAAATATTAAATTAAAATTAAAAGTTACTTGATCAGAATTCCAGCAGGTCTCCTCATCATTATCGGTCAAGTGCTGCTTACCAAACTGTCTGACATTTCTGTTTAATACCGAACTCACTCTAAATTAACATAAAAAATAAAATAATCTTTAATATAATTATTTTATTCAATAAATATTTATTTTAAATTTTAAAAAATATTAACAAATAATTTCGGCAACAGCAAATTATCATTAATTTTTTTCTGTATCAATTCAATAAAAATTTTAAATGTAGCAATCAAAAATACCTAATTTTAACCCCGCCACTGGCTAGAAGTGACATGCCTAAATAATAAATTAAAAATAACCTCTCAGTGGCCCAAAATTTTCATATTTACATTATAACTTAAATCTACTTTTAATCATTATGTAATGGTGATGAGCCGGTTGAACTTTGAACAAAATGCCAACAATATTTTTCAATGGTACGTTATATTACTCTATATTATATTATATTATATTATATTATATTACGTTATATTATATTATATTAAGTACAGATAACATAAGAAAAAGTTATTCAAGCAAATGTAGCAGTAGGACTTGTTTAAAATTGTATTTTAAATGAAAGTTAACAGTAACAACACTTTAAATGAATTTTGAAGTACAGACGAGCATTCAAAAATTTAATTATATTTTAAAAACGTGAAAATACAGCAGAAAGTGCCTGAACAAAAATTTTAAACTACAAAATTGAATAATAATGTCGCAAAAACTTCATAAAATTCACAGACATTGGAACAGCTTGTGCGAATGAAATCCAAGTCGGCATTGTTTTTAACAAAACTAAGCTGAATTAAAAGCTTACAAAAACAACAAAAACAAAAAACAACAACATAAATAGCATGAAAATGACGTCACCAGCAACGACAACCAAGTCAGCGACATAATCTCAGTGACAACAAAAATAACGCAGTAACAACAACATATACAACAGCAAAATCAAAATAACACAGCAACAAGCAATAAAAACAATGGCAACAACATCATGAACAACAACAACAAAACTTTTTCAGGACCACAACACTATCACCGGCAACAACAGCAACAACATGAAACTGCCAACAGTAACAACATAGTTTCGTTTGTTGTTGAATGAGGAATCACGCTCTACTAAACACACATCCTGGCATGCGTATGACTGGCATAATACAACTTCATGTGTACAATTATATGTGTACAACTCTACGCATACAACTGCACACGGCTCTATGTATGTCAGTGGTCAGATGCAATTCGTGTGGTCTGTCTGCAGTCACATGCAATTTGTGTGGTCAGTGGTCAGATGAAAATTATGTGGTCAGTGGTCAGATGAAGTTTGTGTGGTCAGTGGTCAGATGCAGTTTGTGTGATGCACGAGCATTTACATGTTGATACCTAATTTTCCTCCTAATTGTTAGCGTCGTCGTTATCATCATCGTCATTATCATCATCATCATAACTGACCGTAAAAGTCCAGTCACACCGTACCAACTGGCTATAAAATTGTAGCACTTTGATAATTCTTTTTATCTATAATTCTATATTTAAAAATGATGATGATGGTGGTGATGATGATGAGGAGGATGATGATGGTGATGATGATGGGGAGGAGGAGAATAAAGAAGGTGGTGATAAATAATGTTGAGGATAATGATGACGATGGTGACAAAGGACAATGAAATTGAATAATAATAATAATAATTACGACGACGACGATGATGATGGTTGTGATGACGATGATGATGATAGTGGTAATGATGATGATGATGATGAGGGTACGCCACCGACGACGGTTATTGTGGTAGATATCTTATTGAAAAAAATCGCCATCTGTAAGGTTGTCGATCTGTCTACTCTTTATTATTTTTGTTTTTTCACTTATCGTTATTATTATTATTATTATTATTTGGCTAATGGTCGTTATTATTATGACAGTGATTATGACCGTTTAACTCATAAATAAAAACCCTGGAAAGAGAGAGTGAGAGAGAGAAGGAGAGAATGAGTGAGAGAAGAAGAAAGTGAGAGAGAGAGAAAGAAAAAGAGGTGCTTATGTGCGTGTACTGTACATATGTGTATACCGTCTGTATATTATCTAAAATTAAACATGAAACTTTGTCTTTAAATATACACATATGTATATACTTATACACATATGTATATATTTATATGTTGGAAGGAGACCATGCTTTATACAGTATTGTATGAATTCTAGCGAATTGTTGGCATTAATCAATTTAAAGTTTGTCTTTTAAATTTTCCTTACTAGAATGTTCTGGAAATTGTCCAATTTATTGAAAATAGAATCATTGTGCTAGTTCATCATAAAAATTTAATGAAACTGTTGTTATCCGAATTGGCCTAATTTCGATTTTTCACAAATCATCTTCAGTTATAGTATATAGTTTCTAATTTAAACAAAGCAAAGTTAATTCTTCAGCAAAGTGTGTTACCTAGTTGGTGTCGTATTCTTCATCCTCTTTGTTGTTGTCATTCCTTTGTTCTTCCTTGTTATTGAAGTTAGTATTAAGGCATCGAGTTGGTAATGTTATCATTCTTTGCTGGATGTTTATTTGTGGTTTATTGATATCTATTGGGACAACTTCTGCAATTTTTAGATGCATTGTGTTGGTGTTTTGATAAATTATTTTTGTGTTGTTGTCCCATGCAACTCCAATGACCCGCCAAATTCTTGAAATATTAGGCACAAAATTTGTTTTTTTATGATACATAGAATACATATGATACATAGAATACATATGATACATAGAATACATATGATACATCGAATACTAATGATACATCAGATACATATGATACCTAGAATACATATGATACATAGAATACATATGATACATCAGATACTAATGATACATCGGATACATATATGGTATAAATTATCAAAAATATGTTATAATTAATATGAGGTAAATAATAATAATAATAAAATATTATTATTACCACCATCATTATTTTTGTTATCATTATTATAAATAATTTTGTTATTACTATTATTAGTATTAAGTTATTATTATTTTTATTATGCTATGGCAAATGCGGACAGCCAATAGCAATGTCCCGTGATGCATGGAATACAAAAAAGAACAATTATCTTAACCATCATCATCATCGTCGTCATCATTATCATCGTCCTTATCATCATCATTGTTACTATAATCAGCATCATTATCGTAATCGTCACCAACATCTTTATCGTCATCATCAAAATTTGTGTCATTATTGCTATTGTTATTATTATTGTTTCTATTAGTTTTTATTTTTATCATCATCATCCTCATCGTCGTCGTCGTCATCTTCATTTTCAGCCAATCAGAACGAAGATAGTCTGCTGATCATTTCCATGAAATCGTCTGATAGATAAATAGATGGATGGACAGATGGAGTGAATGTGTATTGCAAGAATTGTATTTCTTCATTCGTTCATTTATTCGTTCATTCATTTATTCATTCATCCATTCATTCATTCGTCATTCCCTCTTACGCTATTCTCATTCATTCAATCATTCTTCATGATGAAAGAATGTGTGAATTTCGTCTGACGAATTGTAATGATTTTAAAAAATATCAACGTTATTATTTTCTGATTTTTAAAAATTATTCATAATAAAAATAATAAAAACATTAAATAATAATAATAATATTATTAACCGAGTTTAATTAATTAGATCAATTCAACAATAATATAACTAATTGCTCTTTAAAGGAAAATTAATTAACTCAAATATGGATATAGTTTAAATAGTTTTAATTGTTTATCAAATGAATTTAATCAGAATAAAAAATATACTATTTTTAGTTAATCAGTTAGTTAGTTAATTAATTAATTAGTTAATTAATTAGTTCAAAGTTAAATTATATATTAATCTAGTTAAAACTATTTAGGAAACCTTAATTGTAAGTTAATTTGACTACATGTTAATGTTGCAATTCAGATGACAATGAGTTTTGAACAATGTTCAATTTACTCAATAGATTTCTTTTGTTTAACTAGAAAAAAAACAAAATTGTGTCATGCGTTGTGCCATACAACCATGTTTATACAATACATTCGAATACAAACATTCAAACATACTGTATGCATACATATAAACATGCATATACAAACTTGGAAAAATTTAACAAAAAAACATATATACAAACGTAGACATACAATTATACAACAAAACATACAAACATTCAAGTAAAAACATACAGCTATACAACAAAACATACAAATAAAGTAAAGACATACAAATATACTAACAAAACCATACAAACATACGAGCAAGACGATACGAATATACCGAAAAAATACACAAAAATACACAAAAGTACACAGATTCCTGTAAATAAATAAATTCCTCAAAAACGGAAATGAATGAT